TTTCATTACACCAACAAAATTGTCTTGCTAAGCATGCAAACATTAAGAGTACACCCTTGAGCCTAAGTTCAATCATAGAATTGAATGGATAACCCAAAAAACTTGGAAGAAATGACCAAATCTACCATGCATACACTCATATGCCCCATGTGTTTGTGATGCTTAGTGTGGATCTAAGCACAGGTCAGTCCCATCTTATACTAAAATTGACTAATATAAATAGAGTAACAATGTATAATCCAAGATTCAGTTTCTTACTTGGGTACCTTGTTAATAATAGAGTTGACTTAGTTCATTCAAAAATTTTGTTTTTTTGAAAATGACTTATTTGTACATAAATGACACAATCAATTAAAAATGAGTACGGACCGCCTAGGGTTCATTCTCATGCGTTCACAATCGATTGAAGGCAGGGTTAAGAGTTCAACTCTCGTGTTCACATGTAAAAAACAACTAGTGAAAACACCAACAAGCTATACATGAGAAAGAAGTAGAGAGATCAAAACCATCAGAAAAGGTACAGAGAATTACTTGCCCGGAGAACTAATTTCCTTCACATTTTCCATCTTAATTTTCTTCTAGTTTGCTAGGTCACAAAAGCAAATCCTGAGGAAAATCTACGGTCCCTCTGTCTAATAATGAATTAACATGGTGGTGTAAGTACTTATTACTTCACAATGTCACCACATTACTACACTATTATGCTAATTACTAAAAAAATGGGGAGAAGAATCATATAGGTACTCACGGTTGTAATCATTTCAAAGATTTAGGGAATCAGTTCCATGAACAATATCCTTTCCAACATTGGCAATCATGTGTTCTGTTGTTGTAAAACTCTGGCTGTGTTACAGGAAAAAGAAGCCACAGGAATGCCGCCATTCCAGCTATAAATGCCACAGTAACTAGTCCTGACATAGATATAATGAGAAATATGAACTTCTATGTGAAAAGAAAAATGCCATGTTTTGCCATTAAAGAGGATTCGGTGGGAGACTTAAGGTTTAACACTAGAACTTGAAGCAAATGACAAGTAGGAACTATTTGACAATAGTGAAAAGTGAACAAGTTTTTCCAACGGAATCACCAGCCACGCTTCAAGTCAAAAATTAAGGAGACTGTTACAGTAAACTAGCTCACAATATTGAGTATTAGCATTAGTTCTTTAACCTGTAAAATTAATATTTAAAGGATAGTAGTTTCTAAAAACTATAATATAATGGCTCAAGATATTAATGTGTAAATATCGTAGGCTCGAGGTTACAAAAATACTAACTAATTTCGTTTGCAACTTGGGAAGAGATCAATTTAAAGGTAGTATCAAAAGAAACAAGAGATGGAGATATTGAAATGTGAGTGACTAAAACAACCAATTTCCAGCAAGCTAATATTTTTATGCTCAAATAATGCACCTTAATAATAGTGTCACTTGCAGCTTCAGTTGCATACCTCTTTTT